AAAAAAAATTCATAGGCATTGGGGCTGGCAATATATAGCTCAGTGGCATAAGCGCCTGCCTGGCAAGCGTGAGGTCATGAGTTCGATCCCTGGTACTGCAAAAAAAAAAAAAGAAAAAAAAAAAATTCATAGGCATATACAACAAAAGAATAGACTATTTTTACACACTATTTTTACGGTTCAGTTCAAAATAGTGTTATTAATATTGGTTCATCACTTAAACATACCACACAAAGTGCTAATAACAGGTAAATTGTAAAGAGAAAAAATGAGTTACATGAAAACTCTATACTACCTGTTAATTTTCTATGAACCTAAAACTTCTCTAAAAAATTATATCTACTACATATGAAAAAGTTGGGTGTGGTGATGCACACCTGGAACCAGCACTCTGGGAGATTGAGGCAAGAAGATCTCAAGTTCGAGACTAGCCTGGGCATTTTTAGTGACTTAGTGAGGCCCTGAAAAATGAAAAGGGCTGGGGATGTAGCTCACTGCGAAGGCCCTTGATTCAATCCCCAGTACTGAGAAAGAACGAACGAGAGAGAGAGAAAAAGAGAGAGAAGGCATCAAGCAAGAATTTGGTTTTTTTGTTGTTGTTTTTTTGTTTTTTCTTTTTCAAGCAATAATTTGGCCAAAGGTAAAAACATTGATTCTTCATGTTAAAAAGAAAACAGAAACTGGACGTGGCACAGTCATAATCCCAGCGCTGAAACAGGAGGAACACTGCGAGTTCGAGGCCAGCCTGGGTTACAAAGTGAGCTCAAGGCCAGCCTGAACTGCATAGCAAGACCCTGTCTCAAAAAAAGACAAAAAAAGAAAAGAAAGAAAACAGAAAAAGAAAGGGGATGTATAACTGCAGGATGACAGTCCTCCTCATGAAGAACGTTCTTTAAGAGGAGAAACAGGGGCCACGGATTTAGCTCAGTGGCACAGCACCTGCCTGGCATGCATGAGGTCCTGAGTTCGATTCCTGTTACCCCCTCAAAAAAGGAGAAACAAGTCAGAAGGAACATTACCAAACCAATGTGGTATTTACTGAGAGTCTATTATACCACAATTATTCAGCACAATTCACACAGATGAATGCATTTATAGGTATAATCTTTCTACGAAATGAGGGCTTCTTCTCATTTTAAAATGAGGAAACGGAAGCTTAGAGAAGTGAGACAAGCTGGGATCTGAATGGGTCTGTCCCCTCCAGACGGGGAGCATTTTATTTCAGAGCACAGGCTGGAGAAAGAAGACTAGGCTTCACATTCTAGTCACACCACCAACAGCATGCTGGGGAAAGTTCATTTCAAGGAGCTTCAATTTCTTCATCTTCTTCAACCTGCAGCATTGCTGAAAGAGGAAAGGTAAAGTATTCATCCAGCCCTGACAGGACCCACACAATCCTCCATAAATGCAGCTGCTGTTTGTTGCTCTACACCAGCTTCTCTAGGGAAGAAAGCATAGAGGAGGATGTAAAGACACTGCCAGTCCAGCAGGCCAGAAACCAGCTGAGCTCTGAACAAAAAACAAAAAGAGCCCATGTAGTGCAAATAAAAACAGCTTCTGGTAGGCATACTTGGGAGACTGAAGCAGGAAGACTTCAGCACCAGCATGGGCTACACAGTGAGTTCAAGGCCAGCCTGGACTACATAGTGAGACCCTGTCTCAACAACAAAACAAAAAGACAAAACCAAAACACAAACATACATACACACACCCCTAAGCTTTTCATTAAGCACTTAGCTTTTCTACTATACTTTGAAAATGCACCAATAAAATCCATGTGTTCACCAAACTAAAATGACAAAAAATTACCCCTTGACCCTAAAAATGTAAGATGCGAATCTCATGTGGCTTTACTGGAAACAGTTATTTTAAGTTTATAATTAAACAACTATAAACCAGGTATGGTGGCACATGCCTGTAATTCCAATTACTCAGGATGCTAAAGCAGGAGGATCATAAGTTCAAGCCCACCCTGGATATAACCCAGAGAGCCTCTACCTCAAAATAAAATTTTAAAAAAATATGAGCTAAGTACAAATAACAGCACACAGGGCCAAGGATATAGCTCAGTGGCACAAGCAGCTGCCTGGCAAGTGCAAGGTCCTCAGTTTCATTCCTGGTATCAAGGAAAAAAAAAAAAAAAAACCAACCAGCACATGGGTCTCTTTCCTTCTGTAAGGAAAAGGCCAACAGATTAAGATAAAGATAGGAAAATAATTTCAATTTCAGCACTGAGACCAAAATATTCCCTTTACAGTCAGGCGTGGTAGCACACACCTGTAATCCTAGCACTTGGGAGGCTGAGGCAGGAGCATCGTTATGAGTTCGAGACCCACCTGGGCTACAAAAGTGAGCTCAAGGCCAGCCTGAATTGCATTGCAAGACCCTGTCTCAAAAAAAAGACCAAAAAAAAAATTCTCTTCACAACACGAACATAGGAAACACATGGAATGAGAGTTGGCTATCTACTTCATTGATTAGTTACACTATTTTCAGTTGCTAGAAGCAGAAAATATGGCCTGGAGATAAACACGACTCAAGCAAACTGGGAAGAGAATGTTCATAAAACAGAGAAAGGGGGTAACAATAAAACATTCCCCAAAAAGGTTTCCGGTTGCAAGTAGCCCTGAATTAGGCCTAATGCTAATGGAAACACCTGCTACAGAAGGAAGAAACACAATCTATTTGGAAGAGAAGGAATTCACATCAGCAGCACAATTGCCGGGCCCCACAGTAGCCCAGATAAATGTCAATTCCCACAGCCCCATAGGGAGTCATCTACGGATCTCAGGACAAAGCCTTGTGGGCAACCCTGAATAACTGTGTACCACAAGCACACCCAGCACTATGGCCTCACTTTTTTTTGAGGGTGTTGTACTGGGAATGGAAACCAGGCCTCAAACATGCTAGGCAATTGCTCTACTGCTGAGCTACATCCCCTGTCCATTTTACTTTTTGAGACAGGGACTTTACTAAATTGCCTACGGTGCCCTTAAACTCACAATCCTTGGACCTCAGCCTCTCCAGGAGCTGGGATTACAAGTGTGTGCGACTGCCACCATGCCTAACTTGCACTATTTTAAAACCATTTTCCTAGCTGGGTGTAGTGGCACATGCCTGTAATCCCAGCACTCAAGAGGCTGAGGCAGGAGGATTGTTGTGACTTCGAGACTAGCCTGGGCTACAAAGACAGCTCAAGGCTAGCATGAACTGCATAGCAAGACCCTGTCTCAAGAAGACAAAAAAAAATTTTTTTTTCTTACTGGCTTTCCATCTAATCCCCTCCCACCATTCTCATCCTCACCCATCCAATTACCATGCATACAACTCAGCTGGCCAAGCATCCTCTCAGCTCTGCCATTTTAAGAGTAAATCAGAGCCTGACCTCTCAACGGACCTTGATTGAAACCACAGCTGTACTGCTTAGAAGCTATCGCCTCCGGTTCAAGAGAACAGAAAGACTGAGAACCTGTGGGGACAGTCTTACTGCCCAGCAAGGAACCAGATCAGACCAGACACTTCAGAGGGGATGAGGTTAGAGGAAGAGAAAAGAGGAGATGTTTTAAAACACACTGCAAACTGGCCTCTGGGGGAATTACATAGCGTGTGTCTTGTCTGCTGCAGACCCACAGTCTGGAGGTGCTGGCATTGGCACAGGCAGTCTACAGCTGTGCATGGGGCCTGCTCCAGGGTGTAGCATGCATGCAGTCAGCTCTCACCAAGCGAGGCATGATCCTGTGGCAAGCACCTTAAACCTCAGTTGCCAAATTTGTAAAGGGGGATCAAAGAAGAACCTAGTCACAAAGTTAATTATAAATAGTTAAGTGAGATATTAACCATTCTTCAAATGCTATTGTTCTTAGACCCTCTACATGTTACATGTTTTGTAAAAGGTGGCTCAGTGGTAGCATTCTGGTCCTCCATACCTGAGCCCAGGATCATCTTGCTGGAACGTTGTCTTCCCATCAGACTGGCCACTCTGAGAGCAGAGGGTGTAGAGATGGGTTTGTGGCCACTGGTTGCTCCACAGCTAGCACAATGGAAGAAACTGCCAATCACCCAGGAAATGACAAGACCCCAGGAGGCAGTCTGGTGCTCTGCTTAGAAATACTTGCCACCCCCCATGGTGTACGCTTCTTTGCCTCCTTGGTACATGACTAATTTTCTCAAGCTAAACTGCTTTAAAAGTTTTAAGCTTTTAAAGTTAAAAACAAAAAAAAAGTTAAAAATATGATGCATCTTACCATCATTTATAAAGCATTCTAAAATGTTCTGCATAAAAAAGAAAACAAGATGGTAAGACTCTACAAACATAGACTTTTTTTAACCTTTCCCCGTTTGCTGACAACAGTCAGAACACACACATTGTGTTAATTCCCACAGATCTGTCAAGTCCAGCAGCACCTACAGCCCTGCCGCACCTGCTGTCCTTCTCTGCCTTACCTGCCATAGACACCTCAGTTAAAATGACAGTCAAAGGACTATCACCTCCCAGTTTCATTGCACAGAAGTGCGGCAGCATAGAAAAAATAGGTAGACAGAAGACATGGACAACTGTAATTTTAAAATTGCACTTTTAAGAAAAACTGTAGCTTTCAGGACACAAATTCTGCCTTCCAACAAACTAAAAAAAAATTCTAAGGGTCTTAAAGACACAGTAAGCATATACAGTAAGTTCTTGACTTATGAACAAGCTCTGTTCCAGAAGAACATCTTTAAGTCAGATTTGTTCATAAATCCTACACAGTGAGTCTTGTGTACCTTTAACACAAACATACAATATAAAGCAGAAAAAACCCAAACACACACAAATACAGTAAGTCCCCAACTGTACTGTACCACTGTACATTATCACACTGCACAGTTAGCACACAACACAACTGTGACAATGTCTCGCAGACACATGAAGTACTTCCGAAATTTGTTCCCATCTACTCATGTTTGAGATAAAAGTTCTCAACTCAAATGTGTGTAAGCTGTGGATGTACAATAAAATCAATCCATGCTTTTCACCTGTAAATTAAGCCTGCCCTTTTCCTCCCAGACCTCTATCCTCACGGAGGCAGTACTCTGAAGTGTGCAGTACATCTCTAACCTTTAAGCATGTGGAATGGTTTCCATTCTAACCTATCCACCAGACAGTAGCTGACACACACTAGGAACACACATCCTACATGTCTTGAGGCCCCCAAGATCACACAAAAAACCCCAGGCCCAGACCACAGTGTACCTCTCTCTTGAGGCTTCACACTCTGAGTGTATACTTCTTTAATTCTGCCTAACAAACCTTTCTAAGGCCTCACTGATGTATCCTGTAAATCTTTTCGGTGATGTCAGTCAGTGAACCTACACCCTACCCTGTGAGGAGCTGAGGTCCCCACTTCCTCTCTGGAGACTTCCTCAATGACATCCAGTGTCAGAAGAGCTTCCTATGCATATTTAAAACGGTTAAGCCAACAAACTGCTCACATTTAACACAGGTAGGTTAACACATGAATGTTTATTTCCCTTCCTCTTTCCATGTCTGGTGATATCCATCACTGGTTGGATATCAAACAAAACCCAATTTAAGGACCTGATTGATTTGGATTAATTAAAATACACAAAAACCTGTATGTCTCCAAAACCACTTACCAAACTTGGGTAATGTACAAACCCTTTTAAGAGAGAACAGTTTTCATGAACCTCTGGCATTGACTGGTTATTTTTATGTTACTTACATAGGTGCAAACAAGCTAGGAAAAGTGAGGCAGGTAGCAGTTTCTTGGGAGGCTGAGGCAAGCAGATTGCCTGAGCCCAGGACTTCTGGGCCAGCCTGGGCAATGTAAAGGAATACCGAAAGAGCTCACCTTAAAACAAAACAGGAGGGGGCACTGCATAACAACACACATTTAAAGGGGGAGATAAACTTGTTGAAGACGATCTTCCCCTTCAACACCAACAAGGAGCTGACCGGCAGGGCACAGCTGCCTTCAAGTGGGCAGGCCTGCTCTAGAAAAGCCAGCTAATGACTCACTGCTCCCACCGCTTTTCTCTATTTAAATCCTCATCTGTACAGCTCACGGTCTGTGAAGTAGCTTGGGCTATACTTGGCTCAAACACATCATTTGCATGTTAATTCCACCTCTATTCTTTTCGTATTTGCTTTCTACCATTAAAACAGCATCATCATAAATAAAATATAAAGAAAACCATTTCTGTCTGCTAATGCTTAGCCATAAACCTGATAGAATCCAGAAGATCTGGATCTGGGTTTTTTTTTTGGTTGTTGTTATCAAAATAAAAGTACAACACTGGTCAATCGTTGTTAGAGAATTAAAGGACACTAGTTAGAAAAAGACAAGTGTACACACCTTTAAAGAGATCTTTGTACTTGTCTCTGTCAATAATCTTGAATGTCAAATGTTTCGTGGGCCTCAATTACATAAGCCCTAGGCAAACAAGACTATCTAAAGTGTTACGAGAAATTTTTCTTCTCTCAGTTTTTCATGTGTTTTACTTTGTATTTAAAACAATTGTATGAGGATGAAAAAAATCTAAATGAGATCCAAAACAGGCCATGACTTTCAAAAACTATTCCTACCTCATAAAATTTTCAGTCTAATAAAGAACAAACTGATTGTAAATATATCTGACAAAAAATAGAAGTATTGCATATTCCTTCAAATCAAGCTGGATTTGGATGAAATCTGTTTTACTTTTCATAGTGTAAAAGATAACTCCATGGACTTCAGAAAAGCATTTGGTGTTCCAGGGAATTGCAGCTGTCAGCTTTTTAAAATGCCATGTGTTTGCCCACATAAAAGAATCCAACGAGCTATGGAAATATTATCTAGTTTCAGGAACCAGAATAAAAGCTCCATGGAGTCAACAGGCTGACAGTAAGAGTTAGTTTAATCTATCAGGAAAATATCCTATACTATTCATTAAATGACTATTTGTAAGTTACACATCATGGACTATAAAGTATTTATTATTTAAATCATACTCACAAGAACAAAAAAAGGCTATGAGTATAGCTCAGTAGTAAAGCACTTGTTTGGTATTCAAAAAGCTCTGGGTTTGATCCTTAGCAGGGAGGGAAGGAATAACAGAAGACGAAAGGAAGGATAGAAGGGAGGGAAAGAGGGATGGAGGGATGGAGGGATGGAGGGAAGAAAATTCTCATCTGTTAAAGAACCAGAATTTAGAACAGTTAGAATTTGCATTCTAAACTAAATTTGTGTTAGAGAAATTTAAACAGACCTGGGTATATAGACCCATGATAAAGTACCTGCCTAGCATGCATGAGGCCCTGGGTTCCACCTAAGCTCTACCAAAAAAGAAAAGAAAAAGAAAGAGAGACTGGCATGGTAATGCACACCTGTAATCCCAGCACTCAGGAGGCCGAGGCAGGAGGATTGCTGAGAGGTTGAGGCCAGCCTAGGCTACACAGCAAGACCCTGTCTCACAAAGCAAAACAAAAAAACAAAATTGAAATAAAGATAGGTACTTGGAGAAGAGCTTTCTAAATATTAACAGCATAAATTACCTAAATCAATTAACAATTACCTAAATCAATTTACTTTTTAATGTATGTACCTGGGGCCAGTGATATAGCTCATCAGCATAAGTGCCTAGCTGGCAAGGGCAAGGTCCTAAGTTCGATT